GTTAGGTGGTATCTCAGTGTGGTTTTGATTTGCATCTCCTTGATGATTAGTGAGGTTGAACATTTCTTCATGTGTCTGTTGGCTGCTCAGATGTCTTCCTTTGAGAAGTGTCTGTTCATCTCTTTTGCCCACTTTATAATGGGGTTGTTTGTTTTTTTCCTCTCAGCATGTTTGAGTTCCTTGTAGATCCAAGATGTTAAGCCTTTTTCGGACCTGGCATTGGCAAATTCTTTTTCCCAGTCTGTGGGCTATCTCCCTGCTCTCTTGATGGTTTCTTTGGCTTTGCAGAACCTTGTCAGTTTAATGAGGTCCCACTTGTCTATCTTATCTCTTATGGCCTGTGGGTTGCAGGGTTTATTCAGGAATTGGATGCCAGATCCAATTTCCATAAGGATATGTCCTGCATTTTCTAAGGTTCTTATGATTTGAGATTTTACATTTAGGTCTCTGATCCATTTGGAGTTAATTTTTGTGTATGGGGATAGATAGGGGTCCTGTTTCAATCTTCTGCATGTGGTCAGCCAGTTTTCCCAGCACCATTTACTGAATAGGTTCTCCTCTCCCCAGTGGTGGGTGGTGGAGGCTTTGTTGAAGATGAGTTGGTTGAGAAATTGAGGTTTCACTTCTGGAATCTCAGTTCTATTCCATTGGTCTATATGCCTGTTTTTGTACCAATACCAAGCTTGTTGATTGTAGCTTTATAGTAAAGTTTGAAGTCTGGTAATGTAATACCGCCTGCTTTGTTTTTTTTGCTATTCTTGGTCGTTTGTGTTTCCATATGAATTCCTGCATTGTTTTTTCTATGTCTGAGAAGAATGTTGCTGGTAATTTGATGAGTATTGCATTAAATCTGTAGATTGCCTTAGGTAGGATGGACATCTTCACAATGTTAATTCTTTTAATCCATGAGCATGGGATATTTTTCCACTTGTTTGTGTCGTCTTTGATTTCTTTGAGCAGTGTTTTGTAGTTTTCATTGTAAAGGTCTTTCACGTCTCTGGTTAGGAAGATGCCAAGGTATTTCATTTTTTTTTGTGGCTATTGTGAATGGAATTGTACTTTTTATTTGGGTTTCTTTTGTTTATTATTGGCATAAAGAAATGCAGTTGTCTTTTGCACATTTATTTTATATCCTGAGACTTTGCCAAAGTCCTTTATCAGTGTAAAGAGGTTTTTGACAGATTCTCTTGGGTTGTCAAGGTACATGATCATGTCATTTGCAAAAAGAGATAACTTGACTTCCTCTTTTCCTATTTGGATACCCATAATTGCCTTCTCTTCTCTGATTGCTCGAGCCAGGACTTCCAATACTATGTTGAACAGGAGGGGTGAGAGTGGGCATCCTGGTCTTGTTCCAGTTTTCAGGGGAATTGGTTCCAATTTTTGTCCATTTAGGAGTATGCTGGCTATGGGTTTCTCATAGATGGCTTTTACTATTTTGAGGTGTGTTCCCCATATGCCTAGATGTTTGAGGGTTTTTATCAAGAAGGGGTACTGGATTTTATCAAAAGCTTTTTCTGCATCTAATGATATAATCATATGGTTTTTGTTTTGACATCTGTTAATGTATTTAATTACATTTATGGTTTTACGAATGTTGAACCAGCCA